TCCACCGTGCGCGTCCGCTATACGTCTAACATGTATCCACCGTGCGTCCGCTATACGTCTAATATGCTTCTACCGTGCGTCCGCTATACGTCTAATATGCTTCCACCGTGCGTCCGCTATACGTCTAATATGCGTCCACCGTGCGTCCGCTATACGTCTAATAGTCGGTGGGCCAACAGGGCTTAGAGGTACCACCAAGAGTGACTAAAGTTATCATATACCATTGGGAAGCTTAAAACCTCTACATTATAAATATGTATGATAGCAGTGCATATGGCGCAGCTTTAGTAGTTAAACAGGGGTACCGTATACTGCACACTATATAATTAAGTCTAATTCTTCTTTAGGGTGTTGCATATCTCCAGTCTGTCAGTCTACATGCACTAGTAGAATGTATAACCATAGTTTTGTGAGTCTGGTCTAGGTGATTTTCAAAATTAAAACTGCTCATAATGCACTCACGTAGAGGTAACTTACCTAACGATAAGTAGCAAGTATGAACATAGTTATAACCAAAATTCATAGACGGAATCATGTAAAATTTTGTAATAACAAATTAAATACATTTTACATGAGCACAGCAAAAACAAGTAAATCAACACAATAAATTAACGCCCCAGAATGGTGCTTATTACCTTACGACAAATATATGTAAACATTTGCATCCTAATGTGTTGCAGACACTGTCATCCCCAAAACTTGCTGAACGTAAATTAGTATTGCCCAAAATAATAATTGTTTGATTTAAAATTCTGGCCTTGCTAGATGATAAATGAAGTTAAGTCAAGATGTAACATTTTGACAAGAATGACTGGTAACTGCCAGTCACAGCTCTGATATAACAACATACATGTACCACTATTCTTAACTACATATACATGGGTTATGGCTATCAAAGAATGCTTAGAAATGGTTTCAATTGCACTCACACTTGCAAAGAGGAAATTCTGCCTGCTTAATGTTTGATTTCATAAGTGATGCAACTGAGTATCTAGTAAAACACAAGCACCATAAACTACCTGCAGTCAACTAATCTATACACTGCCACACACATCTTGCACTCACGAACAGCCCAAAAGTTACATACAACTAATTAAGCTAATATTCTGCACTGTAATCATCAGGCTCATCAATCATTGTCTCCTCCTCCTGTTCTGTGGGAGTCTGGTTAGAACATGTTTTCAGTCTGCACATTTCACTGCAGCGCAGGCCATGTGCAATGCATTGACAGTCAGGTGCTTTACACGCGCGTACACACTTGCAAGCCAGCAGTTCCAGCACAGCAAGAGGTGCAGGCTGACCATCCATCCAGTCAATCTTAATGGTCTCTTCTTCGCCACACTGTTCTATTACCCATCCAAATCCAGATGAACTGGGAATTTCTGGGGCACACTCTAGGCTTCTCTTCCAAATTGCTGTTTGATAGCAAGAACGAAGACAATGCTTGAACAAACAGTCAACACAAGGTGGAAGATGGAATGATTCAATGTATCCTTTCTTTGCATAAAAGAGCTGATGTCTGTACAGGTTGACATCATCAGTGCCATTTTTTGCACCATTCAAAGCACAAACAAACCCTTGTAGTTGCCTGAACATTTCCCCCTGCACCTGCCAATCACTGCCCAAATTTTCAAACAACAGACAAAATGTTACATTTTGTTCGATCAGTTTCAGGGCTGAAAGCTTGCCTTTGCCAGCAAAAGAACCGAGAGTATCACATCCAGTGAATGAATGCATTCCAAGGAGAGCCTTGCCTACAGAGGATCCGAGAGCCTGTGCCATTTGGTTGATACTACTGTACCGTGGTCTGGTCTTTGTTGTGCACACTTGATACAATGGTGTAGATATTTCAGAGGCAAAAGCTAAGCACAACATTCGAACTAGCTTTGTGTGAAGCATGTAAGATGATTCTCGTATCGGCTTCCTTATGTGTACATTTCAATTCATTCACTAGTTCAACTTCTTCTGCTGTTATTTTGTACGCAATCTTCCTCACATGTATCATACATGATTGTATTGCTTTCTGCAAGTTTCCTCCTGCACCTACAGTAGCTTCTTTCCTTTGGGAAACGAGAAATGTTATAAGGTTCTTTTTGTTTGTTGTGCCATGAAGAAAATTTGCCCAGTGCATGATCTTGGTGCCTCGAGAGAAATGTTTGTAAGTCAGAACTTCCGTATCTCCAGCCCTGTGTTCTCGCTCTACATACTTAATAGACACTGGCTTGTATATATCAAATACCACATCAATTCTCCTACATCCTTCACCTTCCCTGAGAATCATAGCCATCATAGACTCTGCAGTGTCTTTGCATGTTTTCTTGTCACCGGCGACAGTATGACCAAGTGCCATAGCATCAATGAAGAAAGGCCGAGGGTTGCGGTAAAATTTCTGCATATGGAAATTTTTTTCTACGTCTCTACTTAATGCAGAGTTATTCGTTTTGCGTGCATGACCTTCTGCATCAGCGATGGACCAAGGAAGAGGCCCAGGTCAGTGTGCCAGAACATCCTGCATATCAAGTTTTCTGTTCTTTGCACAAATGATCATGATCTGCTTTCAGTATCACTTCTTTTCCCTGCACTTTTATTGCCCTAGTTTTCTTTTTGAGGTCAGAAAATGTCTTAAGGTTTAGCTTTTTCATTGTGCTGTTAAAGTCCCGTTGTTCAGCACTGTCCTCAAGCCTTTTCTCTTTGACCTCTTGACTAGCATTTTCACCCAATTCTCTAGCATGCATAATACCATATACCACATCTTTAGGAGCAGCAATACTAGTAGATAAACTGACGAGATCTGTCACCTGGCCAAATGGATTTATCCAGTTATTTCCCAGCATGTCAACTAGTGCATCATCAGCCTTGGCTCTGGCTCTGTGTGAGATCATCATGGTCACAGTCGGAAGAAGTGAGGCCTGTCATATCACGGAGATTTAATTAAAAGACATCATTGTATGCAGAAGAAAAGAAGATTGTTTGTAAAAATGTAAATAAAGCAATTTATTTCCACATTACGTATCTGAAACTAATATGGCTTACAGCATGGGTACATTATGACGGCTAATTAATGCAAATTACTATGGTTAGTCACACGAATACTGCATATTTATTATCTACAAGATGGGTAATGCATGACTGTATCTCTGAAATCACAAATACAATGCATCCTTGACCACCGAAGGGTCAAGACGTACCTGGCGTTCCTCTCGGAGCAGCCAGGTCAACTGTTAAGTTGGCCCATACCAACCCCCTCCCCTGAACCACTTCTCCCCACCGGAATATCAACAAGTTCTCGCCAGAAGTTACAATTTCATTTAGGAAAGGAATGGAACCAGTGTTAAACAGAGGTGAACATGAGTGAACAGTGCTTAAGTCAGTGAGAACAACTCAACAGTAACAGTCGTACTCAAGTTAATCTTCACACAGTGAGTCCCAGGTACCCAGTGATAACGGCCTGTGAGACTAACAACCAGCGATGTGTTATCCTTCACGATAGGAAGGTTCAAATACTACACCTCACTCATATACCACACCATTCAGAGGGAATTACTACACCACGTCAAGTCCCCCATGCAATACCATCTGTGAGGGGAATTACTACACCACGTGATGCTCTCATATAACACCATCTGTGAGGGAGTTCACGCCAAGTCCTCATAACAATTCACATCCAGAGGTGGAATTACTACACCACGTGAGGTCCCTCATAACACCATCTGTGAGGGAATTACTACACCACGTGATGCCCCTCATAACACCATCTGTGAGGGAATTACTACACCACGTGAGGCCCCTCAACACCATCTGGGAGGGAATTACTACACTACGTGAGGTCCCTCATAACACCATCTGTGAGGGAATTCGTACACCACGTGATGCCCCTCATAACACCATCTATGCGGGAACTACTACACCACGTGAGGTCCCTCGTAACACCATCTATGAGGGAACTACTACACCACGTGAGGCCCCTCATAACACCATCTGTGAGGGAATTACTACACGTGAGGCCCCTCATAACACCATCTGTGAGGGAATTACTACACCACATCAGGTCCCTCATAACACCATCTGAGGGAACTACTACACCACATAGGTCCCTCCTAACACCATCTGGGAGAGAGTTACTACACTACGTGTTTGCTGTTCAACACCTACATTAATCTGAATGTTCACTGTATGTTCCTTTACCTTTCTCTAATGAAGGCTTTTGTTAAACCACCAATGTATGTAATAAGTCATTTATGTCCAATGTATATTTTCAGCCTTCGGGCTGCAGAACTTTTTCAATAAACCGTTAATTATTATTATTATTATTATTATTAAATATGGTAAAATACAGGGTATAGCAACACGACTTGTGAATTCGAACTGCCCATATAAGTCGTTTGGGTAACCTTCTTTAATATGAAATTTCTCCTCTTAATCTGTGCCTATGACACTACTATCATACATTGTTGAAAAGTAGACATGTTAAGCTTCCTAATGGTATATAACATTAGTCCCTCCTGGCGATACCTCGGCCTCCAGTTTTGGCCCACCGACTATAGTATGCGTCCACCGTGCGTCCGCTACTGCCGCTGTATACGTCCACTGTCTCTACCATGCGTCTGCTGTACTACCAGAGAGCGTAGCAAAAACAACTCACCCGTGTCTCCAGTGTTTGTTATAAATGAGATAGTTATTTTGTACCGAGTGTGTTAATGATGTGGTAGAGGTTAATTGCGCATACATACATACATACATACATACATACATACATACATACATACATACATACATACATACATACATACCCCATCTCTAGTAGGAATACGAGTGTGAAAAAATTGGTTGAATATATTTGGGTGAACATAAACCAAGAGGAATATTAGGCTGGCAACATTAACCCCGAGGCGGCAACAGCATTATCCATCATTTGGCTGTGGGTAAACTCTGTCATCACATCCTAATACCTTATCCTTCCGTCACCTTATCACCCTCATCCCCTCATCCCCTCATCACCAATGGCGGTAAGCTTGATATTTCTTGGTCCCCCAAAAAGATTAGAAATTAAGCTTCTCAAATATTGGCACGTCAAGCTTTTTCCCTCCTTAAACTGGAGAAGTAGTAATGTACAGTACTCTAAGACCAGCTTTGTGTTAGTACATTTAAAACGAGGCATTTTTTAGTATATCTTACAAAACAATTCAGTATATTACAGTATATCTTTCAGAATCAGGACATAGGTATATACTGACAGTTTTTCTTCAATCATGTAACTTATTGTTCAGTAGTAAGTTGTAGTGTGTTGTTAACGAGCGTATGTTAGCATGATGAAAGTGTGCTGAGGTAACGAAAAAAATAAATGCTTAGTTTTCCTCCCTGGCGACATTTGGCACTTAACTCACTCTACTTACTATCTCTACGCGTCTCTTTCTTGACCAGCATTTTAGCTTAAGTTCCGCTTAGGTAATATTCTTTTCTAAAAAAAAAAAAAAAAAAAAAAAATTTCACTCAAGCAGATCTCTCTCTCTCCTCTTATCTCTCACCCTTCTCTATTTAGTCTCTATTTAACTATGTATCTCTTCCTCTCTTAGCTATTACCCTTCTCTCTTTACCTTAATTTATCCCCCTTCTCTTCTTATCTTGCTCTGCTTCCTAAACATCGTAGAGCAACAGGTAAGGCTATACGGTATATATATTTCAGTAAGATTTGTACAGCGATTCCCGGCATTGTGTTGCTAGTGATAATGTGACACAGAGAATCTTTATGTGGCGAGGCAGAGGTTGTCATTGTCAGCGGGGTACAGAACACCCGTCTCTGTGTATTAGTTATCAGCAGTGGATGCAAATGATATAGATAACGCTGTTTGATTACGGATAGACGCATTACAGAGCAAATAACTAACAGTACTGTACAGCAAGTATGTGTTGTATAGCAAATAAGAACATTGTATGGTAACTCAAATTAATGTATAGCAATTCACAGCATTGATAGGAACTGATAGAATGATTTCCAAGTTCCAGCTACAAATAATAATGATTCTCTGAAGACTTTGCTGACAAGGAAATAAAAATCTACGAATTGAAATAATTATAAAATATTTACAGGTTAATCACCACAGCTTAAAAATTATCTCTTAATTATTGTCCTGTGCTCAGCTTGCCTGGGTCGTGTCGTGTTGATACAGTCGAGCAGAACCGCGTCGTCGTGTTGTTCCGTTTAATAATTCCACGACCAAGGCACCCCACAGTGACGTAACGAACCCCACAGTGACGTAACGAACCCCACAGTGACGTAACGAACCCCACAGTGACGTAACATGGACAGATGATGCAGTTTAGGAGTCGAATTTTATATATTTTTTTTTATTTTATTATCTTTATGTAAGGAAAATATCTGCTCTATAATATTCTTAGACCTCTATCATAACTACATCACCAGCAGGAGTATGATGTAGAGCCGAGTAGTGGAGTTTTCTAACGCTGGAGGGTCGATTAGTGCACAAGAATAAGTTAGATAAGTAAGGGTCTAAGAAGAATAGTTTAGTTTAGATAATCGACCAGTGGCGGGTAAACCTTTGTCTAATATACACTGAGAGGGGAAAACTGCGTCGCTGACCTACCTCTATCCACCCACCTTACCGACCTGCCTACCTGCCAGACCAGCCACAGGTAATCGATATGTTTACCTTGTATTACGATCGCCTAGCCCAGTCCTTCAGTGTTGGCGAATAGACTTGGGGTATAAATATAACGACTCTCTTTATGGAGTATATTGACAAAACCGCTTTGTGTCCATAAAGATATCAGACAGTCTTGATGGCATAAAGATATCAGACAGTCTTGATGGCATAAAGATATCAGACAGTCTTGATGGCATAAAGATATCAGACAGTCTTGTTGGCATAAATATATCAGACAGTCTTGATAGCATAAAGATATCAGACAGTCTTGATGGCATAAAGATATCAGACAGTCTTGATGGCATAAAGATATCAGACAGTCTTGATGGCATAAAGATATCAGACAGTCTTGATGGCATAAAGATATCAGACAGTCTTGATGGCATAAAGATATCAGACAGTCTTGATGGCATAAAAATATCAGACAGTCTTGATGGCATAAATATATCAGACAGTCTTGATGGCATAAATATATCAGACAGTCTTGACAGCATAAATATATCAGACAGTCTTGATAGCATAAAGATATCAGACAGTCTTGATAGCATAAAGATATCAGACAGTCTTGATGGCATAAAGATATCAGACAGTCTTGATGGCATAAAGATATCAGACAGTCTTGATGGCATAAAGATATCAGACAGTCTTGATGGTACATAAAGATAAGGACAGTCTTGATGGCATAAAAGATATCGTGCCAGTCTTGATAGCATAAAGATATCAGACAGTCTTGATAGCATAAAGATATCAGACAGTCTTGATGGCATAAAGATATCAGACAGTCTTGATGGCATAAAGATATCAGACAGTCTTGATGGCATAAAGATATCAGACAGTCTTGATGGTATAAAGATATCAGACAGTCTTGATGGCATAAATATATCAGACAGTCTTGATAGCATAAAGATATCAGACAGTCTTGATGGCATAAAGATATCAGACAGTCTTGATGGCATAAAGATATCAGACAGTCTTGATGGCATAAAGATATCAGACAGTCTTGATGGTATAAAGATATCAGACAGTCTTGATAACATAAAGATATCAGACAGTCTTGATGGCATAAAGATATCAAACAGTCTTGATAACATAAAAGATATCAGACAGTCTTGATAGCATAAAGATATCACCTTGATAACATAAAGATATCTTGATGGCATAAAGATATCAAACAGTCTTGATAATATAAAGATATCAGACAGTAGATCTCCAGTATGATATCCAAAAGATATGAGACAGTCTTGATGGCATAAAGATATCAAACAGTCTTGATAACATAAAGATATCAGACAGTCTTGATAGCATAAAGATATCAGACAGTCTTGAACATAAAGATATGAGACAGTCTTGATGGCATAAAGATATCAAACAGTCTTGATAACATAAAGATATCAGAGTCTTGATAGCATAAAGATATCAGACAGTCTTGATAATAAAGATATGAGACAGTCTTGATGGCATAAAGATATCAAACAGTCTTGATAACATAAAGATATCAGACAGTCTTGATAACATAAAAGATATCAGACAGTCTTGATAGCGATACAGTAGAAATTTATAATTTTAATAGGAGCAAATTTTTCTTCCTTCCCGACAACCTCTAACACCTAACCTAACCTAACCTAACTAATTAAAAAAACTTAGTAACAGCATTCAAGAATATCCAACTTTATTATGAGGATTCTTAAAGTATTTCCCGCATAACGTTTACTATTTTATGACCTTTTTCTTAATTCACAAATTACGCAAAAAAAAAAAAACTTTCCTTCCTTCAGAAAAATTTTATTCGTATTTATTTAAGGCAAATACTTGACCCACAAGCAAGTCTTATTCCTTTAATGAAGTCTAGGTGCTCTTGCCTTCAGCCTCCTCTTGCCCTCAGCCTTCTCTTGCCATCAGCCTCATCTTGCCCTTAGCCTCCTCTTTGCCCTCAGCCTCCTCTTTCGTTCAACATCCTCTTCCCTCAGCCTCCTCTTGCCCTCAGCCCCCTCTGCTCTCAGCCTCCTCTTGCCCTCACCCTCCTTCTGCCCTCACCTTCTCTTGTCCTCACCTCCTCTTGCCCTCTCTTGCCTCTCCCCTCACCCTCCTCTTGCCCCTCACACCTCTTTCTGCCCTCACCCTTCTCTTGTCCTCACCCTCCTCTTCCCTCACCCTCCTCTTGCCCTCACCTTCCTCTTGCCCTCACACCTCCTTTTGCCCTCAACCTCCTCTTGCCCTCAGTCTCCTCTTGCCCTCACCCTTCTTTTGCCCTCAACCTCCTCTTTGCCCTCACCTTTCTCTTGTCCTCCACCCTCTCTCACCCCCTCTTGCCCTCACCGTCTCTTGCCCTCAGCCTCCTCTTGCCCTCAGCCTCCTCTTACTCCCAGCCTCATCTTGCCCTTAGCCTCCCTCCTTGCCTCACCCTTCTCTTGCTCTCACCCTTATCTTGCCCTCCACCCTCCTCTTGCCTCACCCTCCTTTTGCCCTCAACCTCCACTTGCCCCTCATCTTTCTCTTGTCTTCACGCTCCTCTTGCCCTTACCCTCCCTCTTGCCTTCACTCTCCTCTTTCCCTCAGCCTCCTTTTGCCCCTCAGCCGTCTTGCCCTTAGCCTCCCTTTGCTCCCCTCCCTTCTCTTGTCCTCACCCCTTATCTTGCCCTCAGCCTCCTCTTGCCCCTCAGCCTTTTCTTGCCCCTCACCCTTATCTTGCCCTCACCCTTATCTTGCCCTCACCCTCCTCTTGCCCTCACCCTTATCTTGCCCTCAGCCTCCCTCTTGCCCTTAGCCTCCTCTTGCCCTCAGCCTTTTTCTTGCCCTCTCACCCTTATCTTGCCCCTCACCCTTATCTTGCCCTCACCCTCCTTGCCCTCAACCTCCCTCTTGCCCTTACCCGCCTCTTGCCCTCACTCTCCTCTTTCCCTCAGCCTCCTCTTGCCCTTAGCCTCCTCTTGCCCTCAGCCTTTTCTTGCCCTCAGCCTTCTCTGCCCTCACCCTTACCTTGCCCTCAACCTCCTCTTGCCCCTCAGCCTTCTCTTGCCCTCACCCTTATCTTGCCTCCTCCTCTTGCCCTTAGCCTCCTTGCCCTCACCCTTTCTCCCTCATCTCTCATCTTGCCCTTACCTTATCTTGCCCTCACCTCCTCTTGCCCTTCCCCAGATGACCTTTCACTCAAGACTCATATAGAGGGTCATTGGTATTCCTGTGGTATTTTGTTATCGTTGATGTGTCTCGGTAGAGTTCATTATATACCGTCTATTATGTGGGGTTGTATACAGAGGTAGGACCATTATCTACCTCTATTATGTGGGGTTGTATACAGAGGTAAGGATCATTATATACCGTCTATTATGTGGGGTTGTAAACATAGGTAAGGACCATTATATACCGTCTATTATGTGGGGTTGTATACAGAGGTACAGATCATTTATATACCGTCTACTAAGGACCATATATACCGTCTATTATGTGGGGTTGTAAACCATTATATAAACAGAGGTACCATTATATACCGTCTATTATGTGGGGTTGTAACAGAGGTAAGGACCATTATATACCGTCTATTATGTGGGGTTGTAAACAGAGGTAAGGATCATTATATACCGTCTATTATGTGGGGTTGTAAACATAGGTAAGGACCATTATATACCGTCTATTATGTGGGTTGTATACAGAGGTACAGATCAGAAACATAGGTAAGGACCATTATATACCGTCTATTATGTGGGGTTGTAAGGTTTATGTCTATTATGGGGTTGTAAACATAGGTAAGACCATTATATACCGTCTATTATGTGGGTTTGTATACAGAGGTAAGATCATTATATACCGTCTATTATGTGGGGTTGTAAACAGAGGTGGGATATGTACCCATTATATTCCGTCTATATGTGGGGTTGTAAACAGAGTCCATTATATACCGTCTATTGGGTTGTATACAGAGGTACAGATCATTATATACCGTCTATTATGTGGGGTTGTAAACAGAGGTAAGGATCATTATATACCGTCTATTATGTGGGTTGTAAACAGAGGTAAGGACCATTATATACCGTCTATTATGTGGGGTTTGTAAGAGAGGTAAAGACTCATTATATACCGTCTATTATGTGGGGTTGTATACAGAGGTACAGATGATTATATACCGTCTATTATGTGGGGTTGTATACAGAGGTACAGATCATTATATACCGTTTATTATGGGTTGTAAACAGAGGTAAAGATCATTATATACCGTCTATTATGTGGAGTTGTGCAGAGGTAAAGATCATTATATACCGTCTATTATGGGGTTGTAAGGGTTGGTAAGAGGTACCATTATATACCGTCTATTATGTGGAGTTGTAAGCAGGGGTAGAGTTAATTATATACCGTCTATTATGTGGGGTTGTAAACAGAGGTAAAGATCATTATATACCGTCTATTATGTGGGGTTGTAAACAGAGGTAAGGATCATTATATACCGTCTATTATGTGGGGTTGTAAACAGAGGTAAGGACCATTATATACCGTCTATTATGTGGGGTTGTAAACAGAGGTAAAGATCATTATATACCGTCTATTATGTGGGGTTGTATACAGAGGTAAGGACCATTATATACCGTCTATTATGTGGGGTTGTAAACAGAGGTAAGGACCATTATATACTGTCTATTATGTGGGGTTGTAAACAGAGGTAAGGACCATTATATACCGTCTATTATGTGGGGTTGTAAACAGAGGTAAGGATCATTATATACCGTCTATTATGTGAGGTTGTAAACAGAGGTAAGGATCATTATATACCGTCTATTATGTGGGGTTGTAAACAGAGGTAAGGATCATTATATACCGTCTATTATGTGAGGTTGTAAACAGAGGTAAGGATCATTATATACCGTCTATTATGTGGGGTTGTAAACAGAGGTAAGGACCATTATATACCGTCTATTATGTGGGGTTGTAAACAGAGGTAAAGATCATTATATACCGTCTATTATGTGGGGTTGTATACAGAGGTAAGGACCATTATATACCGTCTATTATGTGGGGTTGTAAACAGAGGTAAGGACCATTATATACTGTCTATTATGTGGGGTTGTAAACAGAGGTAAGGACCATTATATACCGTCTATTATGTGGGGTTGTAAACAGAGGTAAGGATCATTATATACCGTCTATTATGTGAGGTTGTAAACAGAGGTAAGGATCATTATATACCGTCTATTATGTGGGGTTGTAAACAGAGGTAAGGATCATTATATACCGTCTATTATGTGAGGTTGTAAACAGAGGTAAGGATCATTATATACCGTCTATTATGTGGGGTTGTAAACAGAGGTAAGGACTATTATATACCGTCTATTATGTGGGGTTGTATACAGAGGTAAGGACCATTATATACTCGCCTTATTATGTGGGGCTTGTATACAGGAGGTAAGGATCATTATATACCGCCCATATGTGGGGTTGTATACAGAGTGTAAGGACCATTATATACCGTCTATTATGGGGTTGTATACAGAGGTAAGGACCATTATATACCGTCTATTATGTGGGGTTGTAAACAGAGGTAAGTGATCATTATATACCGTCTATTATGTGGGGTTGTATACAGAGGTAAGGATCATTATATACCGTCTATTATGTGGGGTTGTAAACAGAGGTTATTATAAAACTACAACCCATAGAGATTGT